TCACTCAACTACTCAGCCTTAGTTTGCTCATTTGTAAAATGAAGATGATAATAGTACCTACCTCACAAGGTTGTTGTAAGGATCAAATGAAATAACATATATAAAATGCTTTGCAAACCTTAAGGCACCATCATTTATATAGTGCCAGAATTTAATTAGATATTATTATAATAATTAGAGCTTTAATGGCCCTCCAGAACTTCAGCCCAACTTCCTCCTGGAATTCTCTATCTGTTGGGTGGTTGTGGTGGTGATAGTAGGACTGCTGTTGTTTTGTTTTGTTTTTGACAATAAAATTCAAGAAGATTGTCTTCTAAGGAAGGCACAGAGGGGTTGCCATCTGCAGGAGCACTAGAGCAAGGAAATCATTGATATTTTCAGTAATGGTCACATTATGATGGCTCTGAATCACTCTGTCTGCCTGTGCAGACTTTTCTCGTACTACATGTAGTCTACACGTGAGTCAAATTAGACTACAGACTTTTCCATTAAATATCCTGAGCTTTCTATGCTTTTGCTTGTGATTTTCTTTATGCCTAGGATACTCCTTCATATTTGCCTATTAAATCTAACCATCAGTCAGTCAATAAGCATTTATTAAGCACCTACTAAGTGCTAGCATTGCCATAACTAGTAGTTGTTATTTCTGGGGTAAGCAGCATAAAATGTTTTCAAATATTTTAATTTTTCCCAATTACATGTTAAAAACAATTTTTAACATTTATTTTTTAAAATTTTGAGTTCACTCTTTTTATTTTTGATACTGGTAATTTGGATTTCTCCTTTTTTTCTTTTTACTCAAATTAACCAATGGTTTATTTTATTGTTTTTTCTTCCATAAAGTGAGTTCCTAGATTTATGTATTATTAGTTCAATGGTTTTCTTCCAGTTTTATTAATCTCTCCTTTGATTTTCAGTATGTCCAATTTGGTGTTTAACTGGGGATTTTAAATTTTTTTTCTAGGATTTTGGGTTGTTTTTTTTAGAGACAATTAGTATTAAGTAATTTGCCCAAGGTCACACAACTAGTAAATGTCTGAGACTGGATTTGAACTCAGGTTCTCCTGACTCCAGGGCCAGTTCGCTATCCACTGTACCACCCAACTGGCCCCTTTTTTCTATTTTTTTTTTAGTTGCATGCCCAGTTCATTGATCTGTTCTTTCTCTATTTTATTGATGTAAGCTTTTAGAGATATACATTTTCCCCTAAGTACTGCTTTAGCTGTATCCCACAAATTTTAGTATCGTGTCTTATCGTTGTCATTCTCTTTAATGAAATTATTTATTGTTTCTAGGATTTGTTCTTTGACACTCATTCTTTAGGATTAGATTATTTAGTTTCCAATTAATTTTAATCTATGTTCTCCCAACTCTTTATTGAATATAATTTTTATTGCATTATGGTCTGAAAAGGATGCACTTAATATTTGTTTTTCTGTATTTGGTTGTGAAGTTTTCATGCCCTAATTGATGGTTAATTTTTGTGTATGTGCCATGGAACACTGAGAAAAGATGTATTCCTTTCTATTCCCCTTCAGTTTTCTCCAAAGGTCTATCATATCTAACTTCTCTAAAATTCTATTCATTTCCTTAACTTTTTTCTTTTTTATTTCTTTGGTCAGATTTATCTAGTTCTGAAAGGGGAAAGTTGAGGTCTCCCACTTAGTATAGTTTTATTGTCTATTTCCTCCTGTAACTCATTTAATGTTTCCTTTAAGAATTTGGATGCTATACCATTTGGTGCATATATGTTTAGTATTGATTATTACTTCATTGTCTATGGTACCTTTTAGCGAGATGCAGTTTCCCCGTTTACCTCTTTGAATTAGGTCTATTTTTGTTTTTGCTTTACCTGACACCATGATTGCTATCCCTGCTTTTTTTTTATACTTCAGCTGAAGCATAATAGATTCTATTCCATCCCCTTACCTTTACTCTGTGTGTGTATCTCTCTGCTTCAAGTGTGTTTCTTGTAAACAGCAAATTGTAGGATTCTGTTTTTTAATCCACTCTGTTATCCATTTCCATTTTATGAGTGAGTTAATTCCATTCACATTTATAGTTATGATTACTAACTATATATTTCCCTCTATGCTATTCCCCCCCCCATTTATCAAATCAACTTTTAAAAATAAAATTTAGTTTGGGGAAAAGAGACCCCAAGATACCATCCCATGGGGGAGACAAAGACAAAGTATCTTGACTCCTCTGTGAGCAAAGGACCCGGAGACACTGTGGGGCTGCTGCTGGGTAGGTTGTGATGCAGCGAGAGGGGAAGGCAAAGAGGGAAAAAGGGGCACAGGCAGAGCCAGGGTGGAGCTCACCCAAGGAATTGCCACAAAGTGGAAGAAGTAGGCCATCTGTTTGCATCCTATTATAACTAATTACTAGATGCTGGGTTTTTGGTTTTATACTGTTGAAAGGCTAAAGTGCTGCGCCTGTCCTCTGAATTTCAGTGGCATATCCATAAAGGTGAAATGGATTGAAATTCTAGTCAAAGGGGACAATTAGCCCCCTCCAGTCTTTACATGCTGTCTCTCACCTGTGTTCCCACAGGTGTCTTCAGTGCCTAAAGTGTATTCCCTCTTCATCTCAGCCTTTTTGATTCCTTGTCTTTCTTCCAGTGGCACCTGGCTGAGGTGCCACTTGTTCCAGTATGCCTTCTCCAGTCTCTCCAGGAGTTAAGACTCTTCCCCTTCTCAAATTTCTGAAGATCGCTTTGAAGGGATCTCTCCTTTGCCCCTTTACTCTCTACCTTTTATCTTATTCATGTTGTATCTCCAAGTAGAATGAACATAAACTCTTAAAGAGAAGGGACTTTTTCAAGTCAAGTCAAATCAACAAGCATTTTTTAAGATTTCCAGTGTACCAGACTCTGGACTAAGCACTGAAGATACAGAGAAAGGCAAAAGATGGTCCCTAGTCTTAGGGAGGTCTCAGTGTAATGGGTGAGACAATATGAAAACAACTATGTATGAACAAGCTATGGATGGTATAAATTGGAGATAATCCACAGGGGCAAAGCACTAACATTAAGAGGATCAAGAAAGGCTTCCTATAGAAGGTAGGATTTTAGCTAGAACTTGAAAGAAGCCAGGGAAGCCAAGGAGCAGAGATGAGGAATAAGAGTGGGAAGCAGTCAGTGAAAATGCCCCAAATCTGGAGGTGGAGTGTCTTGTGTGAGTAAGGAAGCCAGTGTCACTGGATGGCTGAATATGTGTCGGGGAGTAAGGTATAACAAGACTGGAAAGGTAGGAAGGAGCCAAATTGTGAAGGACTTTGAATGCCAAACACTATTTTGATTTTTGACCTTGGAGGTGATAGGGAGCCACTGGAATGACATGGAAGAAGATTAATTGGGCAGCTGATTAGAGGACAGAGTAGAATAGAGAGAAACTAGAAGCAGGGAGAGCCACCAGCAGACTATTATGGCACACATCTGCAATCCCTGCTGCTGGGAAAGGATAAGACTTTGTTGTTCAGTTGTTTTGTTGGGGTTTAGGGATTTGGGGGTGCTGGGATCCCAAAATCACATCACGCGGGTACTGCCCAAAAGAATTTGACCCAAGCCTTCTTTCAGCCAAAGACAAGGTTTATTAGAACATCCATCGCATTGGACAGACTCTTAAGGAGTGTGAACATTAGTGAGCTATTGGCTAGATTACAAGAATCTGAGCATCTCAATGGAGACAAGATGGACCTTATATACAGAAAGACTGTGGGAGAGATGTAGGAGTGGCCAAATAGTCTGTGAGGTGATAGAATGCCAGGGACCTGGATCACATGGCCAAGGGAGAAAGAAGCCTAGCTAGGATTAAGGGTAGGAAGTGGGGCGGGGCATAGGGAAGTAAGACAGTGGAGGGCTAGGCTAGGTTAAGGGTAACAGAAAATTGGGAGATTGGGCATAGCCACAATGAAAGGCCAGTTGATGGGATTATAGCCTCAGGCAGACGCCAGAGATTTGGCCATGTGGGAAAGTCCTGGGCTTTTCCTTTCTGGGATCCAGATTCCAACCCCATCAGTTTCAGTCCTGTCCGACCCTTCATGACCCCATTTGGAGTTTTCTTGGTCAAGATACTGGGGTAGTTTGCCATTTCCTTCTTCAGCTCATTTTACTGATGAGGAAACTGAGGCAAACAGGGTTAAGTGATTTGCCCAGGGTCACATAGCTAGTGTCTGAGGCTAAATTTGAACTCATGAAGATGAGTCTTCCTGATTTCAAACCTAGTGCTCTACCCACTGAGCTACCTAGCTGTGGTACCTAGACATCGTGGTATAGGGGGGATGGGGTGGGGGGAAAGCATTGGATCTGGAATCAGAGGACCTGTGTTCAAATTCCAGCTCCACAACTGTGACCTTGAGTAAGTTACTACACCCCTCCTGGCTTCAATTTCGTCATCCGTGAAATACGGATTAGTACGACTTGATGACCTCTGAGTATCCTTCTGGCGTTACATCTATGATCCTGCCTTCCTGGGTTCACATGGGGACATAGGGGTACAGATGTAGACTCGGAAGGGACCTGAGAAGCCGCCAGGCCCGATGCCCTTGTTTTACTGTTGAGGACGCAGAAGCTGGGCAAACAGAGTGATCTGGCTGAGATCACACAACTAATGCACAGTAGAAATGGGACTGCCTCAGACGCTTGACACTTACCAGCCATGTGACCCTGGGCAAGTCACTTAACTCTGATTCCTCACCAAAAAATAAAATAGAAGAAATGGGACGGGAACATAGTAGGTTCTCTCAGCTCCAGAACCAATCTTCTCTCTACTGCACCGCGATGCCTTCCTTTGTAAAATCTCAAAGTGGCTCCTCTGACTGCTCCGATTCTTATTGTTTTCCAGGTTCGAAAATGTAGGCCTTCAAGAAAAATGACTTGCCCAAGGCAACTAGCAAGTCATTTGGCCGACCTCGGCCTCCAGGAGAGGAGAGCTGGGGCTCAGGGGAGCCTTCTTTCCTTTGGAGCGTTCTTCACTTTGCCTCCACTGTCTTTTCAGGGAGTGGCAGAGGCCGAACTGGAGAAGGACCTGACCTGGACCTTCAAAGTGATGTTCCGAGCAAGTGATGAGATGAAGGTACATATGCGCATGCCACATTCCGGGATGTGTAGGGTGCTTGCTGCACCAAGGGCGGCGGAGAGCTGTGGGAAGGAAACTGGTGGCTGATTTGGCTTTAGGGGAGGAAGCAGGAAGCAGGGTATGTCTCAGCATGTGAGGCATACCCCGGAGGATCGGAGCCTGACCTTCTCTACTCTTTTTACTGGCTCTGTTACTAAACAAGGACCTCTAACCTTCTATTTTAGTTCCTGCCTGCCCCACCCCTAGATGGGGGAAAAAGTTTTTACCATTTCACATCACAGTAGAATGGAGTGAGATGATAACAGCAAGGGTATTGCTATTACCTACCCTAAGACCTTTTATTTTTATTTTTTTGGAGGCGATAGGATCAAGTGACTTGTCCAAAGTCACACAGGTAGTAAATGTCTGAGGTCAAATTTGAACTCAGATCCTCCTGAATCCAAGGCCGGTGTACCACTTAGCTACCCCATCTACCCTGAGATCTAAAGGTTGATCAGGAGATCCTACAGACCAGGGTCATGGAAAGAACACAGATTTAGAGTCAGAGGTCTTGGGTTTGAATGTTGCCTCTGCCACTTCCTGATTGCATAACCTTAGGCAAGTCACTTAATCTCTGGACCTCAGTTTTCTCGTCAGTAAAATGGGAGGGTTAGACCAGATGGCCTTTGAGGCCACATCTGGCTCCAAGTCTGGAGACCTGATCTTTCTTCTGCAGTCCAACCAGCTCATCCAAATCTTTGAAACTCTCCTAATCTTATTTTCTCTAATTGTGTTACAATGATTGTGTACTACTTAATAGACTCTTTCTCCCAAGCGTCCCTTCAGTTACTAAATTGTGTTTACTTTAGAAATAAATGATTTTAAAGCCAAAAAGGGACTCGAATCCATACCTCAAGAGTCTATTCTATCAATTACCCTCATTCTTCTGGTGAAGCAATTGAGGTCTGCAAAGATTGAGTAATTTGGGATATGTGACTCTGGGTGAGATCTCTGGGTTAAAGGGCATAGATATTTTAGTTACTTTCTTATCAGAAGTCTAAATTGCTTTCCAGAAAGATTTGACCAATTCACAGCTCCACTAACAATGTATTAGTGTGCCTGTCTTTCCATAGCCCTTCTGATATTGACTATTCCCATCTTTTGTCATCTTTGCTAGTTTGCTGGGTGTAAGATGATGCTTCAAAGTTATTTTCATTTTCGTTTCTCTTATTAATACTGATTTAGAACAATCTTTCACAGAGTGGCTAATAATTTGTTATTCTTTTAACAACTATTTGTCCATATCCTTTAAGGACATCCATTGGGGAATGACTGTTAGTGTTTATATATTCTTATTAGGTGTTCATTATGTATCTTGTATCTTAGCCCCTTATCAGAGATTTTCGATTCAAAGATTTTTCCCCCCAATTGGCCACATTCTTATCCTAATTGCATTGATTTTGTAAGTGCAAAAGTTTTTTAATTCCACATAATTGAAATTATCTATTTTATGGTTTGTGATCACCTCTATTCTTTGAGATGTGAAAAGTATCTGATCTGATTCTCTCCTTTTTTTGAAAAATGGTGTGACCTTTATAATTCAGACTGAGTATCCATCTTGAGTTTATTATGGCATGTGGTATAAAGATATTGAACTAACAGCCAAACTGTCATCTTTTGTAAGAGAGTTGTTTTTTTGTTTGTTTGTTTTGTTTTGTTTTCTCTTTCTTGCAGTTTTTCACAATGGAAAGTCCTCTTGAAAAAGGTGAGAAACATCATTGACAGAGGATGATTGGAAGGGTCAGGGAAGGAACTGACAAGATCTGTGAGAAGTTTCTCTTTAAATATTTTTTTTTACTCCCATGTCTCTCTCTGCAGTCTAACTATAGTGATCTTTTGGGCTCTCCCAGCCTTTTGTTACTGCTGTTGCTGATAAGTCATTTCAGTGGCGTCCAACTCTCTGTGACCCCTTTTGGGTTTTCTCGGCAAAGATACTGGAGTGGTTTGCCATTTCCTTCTCCAGCTCATTTTCCAGATGAGGAAACTGAGGCAAACAGGGTTAAGTGACTTGCCCAGGGTCACACAGCTAGTGAGTGTCTAAGGCCAGATGTGGAGTCAAGAAGATGAATCTTTCTGACTCCAGGTCCAGCAATTCTATCCACTATGTCACCTCTCCTAGCCTACCATTTGCTATCTGTGTGACCTTGGGCAATTTATTATACCCCTCTAGGCCTCTGTTTTCCCACATGTAAAGTGATGACAGTTGGACTCAATGAGACTTCTGAGATCTTTTTTACAGCTTTAAATCTGTGAATTATGAATTATGGCCTGTTTTCTCCCAATTGCTTTTGATGCCTGAGTCCCAATACGTAAGCTAAGCTCCAAAGTTTACCACTTACCCTAGCATGTGATCACTTAGTGGCTTTTTGGCCAATCTTTCAGGCTGCCCCCTTTGCCCCCCACCCAAAGTATCTGTCCTCCTCAAACCTGTTTTTTCTTTCTCTCAAACCTTCCTGAGTGACTGCATTTCCCATTTTCCTGCTCTTGATTGGAGCTGTTCTGTCAGACTTTTTAAATAGTACAACTCCAGACTTACCTCTCCTGTCACTGTGGAGAAAATATAGATTAAAGCGCATTGGAAAAGGTAGTAAATGTCTCTGGTTAGTATCACTGCCAGTCTCTTTGCCTTTCCCTAGAATGACATAGGTTTTGCTGTGAAGATACCCAAAGCTAAAAAAATACCTGAGGTCGTTTTATAAAAATCAGACTTTTCATTTGTGCCATAAAGTTCCTTATTGACAGGCTTCATAGAGACACCAATGGTATTGGCTATTCTGTTCAGAAAAGGAGTTCTTAATCTTTTTTTTTGCCATGGACCCCTTTGGCAATCTGGTGACATCTACGGGTCTCTTCTCAGAATGATTTTTAAATACATAAAATAAAATACATCGGATTGCAAAGAGAACCAATTATATTGAAAGTTATCAAAACTAAAATCATAAAAATATAAAAAAATTTTAAAATAAGTGCATGGATACCAAGTTAAAAATCCCTGACATGGAGTGTTGAACAGGCACAGTGGAGATACAGACATAGACTTTTTACCCACAATGTGTTGGTAAATGTTTAACAACAAGCTGTCTGGGGTAAAAAAAAAAAGTGTGACACACCTTTAAGTTTAATCTCCATTATTAACATTTTCTCCATCACTTTCTTAAGTCTAGACAATTAAAAAAAATAATCTACAAATCAAACCCTGATTTGTAGCATTTTCTGATTTCCAAGATGTTAAGTGCTTACACTGAAAATTTAACAATCACCTCACAGGTTCAAGCTGATTCTAACACATCCCTAACCCCATTCATTTTAGCTCTCTTGCAGTTCCCCCATCCTACCATGGGATAGGCAGCTAGGTGGTACAGTGGATAGTGTCTGGTCTGGAGTCAGGAAGACTCATCTTCCTGAGTTCAAATCCGGCCACCAGACACTAACTAGCTGTGTGACCCTGGGCAAGTCACTTAACCCTGTTTGCTTAAGTTTCCTCATCTATAAAATAAACTGGAGAAGGCAATGGTAAACCAATCCAGTATCTTTGCCAAGAAAACCCCAGATGGGGTCATGAAGAGCTAGACGCTGAACAACAACAAAAACCATGGAATAAGAAGCTTCTTGGTCGCTTTTGTAGGCCCAGTAGCCTGAGCCAAACAAAACATGCCCAAGCTCATTCTTCTTAAGGGGTGAGTGGATCAGTGAGTGGTCCTGGGTGCCCAGGTCCAGTAAAGTCTCTCAATAAAGTGTTGCTGGGCATGCCTGATCCAAGCCTTCCACAGGGGGTTGCAAACAAAATCCTAAATATAACCTCATTCCTTTAAGGTGTAAAGTTTAAGCTCAGCAAGTTGATTTAGCACCCTGTCCTATCTCCATCAACCCTCTCTATCCGTTCTCTAAGCTGAGCAATGCTGACCTTCGGTAAAAATGTCTGATGACAAGTCCCAGGTAAAGGTGGGAAAACTGAGGCTCTGCCAGGGTAAGTGAGTCAGCTGTTCAATATACTTTGGTCATTTGCAAGGTACAGAGCTCTGGGAATTACCAAGGAAATTAAAGACACAGGCCCTCTTACTGTCCTTCATACCTGACTCTCCATTTCCCTTGCACAAGCCTGGAAGGTGCACCCTCTTATATTTTATGTGACATAATAATATGTTATATATTATATATGTGCTACCTCTATCTCTTATATTTCTAATTTCCTAGCAAACTCAAGCCAAACTTCTTTCATGATTCTTTCATAATCCCCTCCATAGTTCCTTCTCCTTGCATGCATAAATCATCTTGTATTTATTTTGCATACATCTTACATATACTTACATATATATACACACCATCCCCCAAAATAGAATGTAATCTCCTTGAGGGCAGGGACAATTTCATTTTTTGTCTTTGGATCCCCCAGTACCTGGTATATGACTTAAGAAACACAAGTTGACAATTGCTTGATGGGGGAAACCAAACAAGCGGAGATAAAAAATATTCAGGAACACTAACCAGGAAGTGCATAATTATGGGCAAAACCAATGACAACCATGCAGGATCATGGAGAAATATATGTGTTAGTGATATTGGGTTGCTAAAAGGATTGACATCACCCTCATTCTGAGAGACTACCTGGTGTTGGAGTTTTCAGTCAGTTTTTTAAACTTAGGTGGGTCATGACTAGACAGAGAAGAGTGGGGAATGGAATGTAGGTTGGCTTAGTGCATAGGACCCAGGATATGTTGTGGGTAATGGTAAACAAGGGGAAAGTAGCAGTAGGAACCCTAGAAGGCGACCCCAGAGGCTACGTAACACAATACCCATATTGTACCAATGTGGAACCTACAGCCTAGCAAGATTAAGTGACTTTTCTGAGGTCACACTGGTAGTAAGCACCAGAGGTAGACTTTGAACCCAGGTCTTCTGACTCCAGATAAAGTGAAATAGGAAATAAGGGCATCTCAATAGTGGAAGCAATGGTTGGAAGGCCCTTGGAAGGACTGCATGGTATAGTCAGAAAAGTAGTGGATTTCAGCTCTGACCACTTAGGGTCAAAATCATGCCTCTGCTACTTACCCCCAGTTAACCTTGGACAGGTCATACCTGGCACTCTCTGGGCCTCAATTCCTCCATTATAAAATGAGGAGGCGTTGGTGCTGAAGGTCTATTCCAACTCTGGACCTAGAATCATAGATATACTATAAGAAGCAACTAAGAGTCACAACACACTTCAGAAACAGGAGAGTGATGTGATCAAACCGATGAGGTGCTCAAGGTCACCCATGGAATGAATGACATCAGTTATGGAAACCCGAGAAGCAGGAATGCAGGAATGCAGATAAATGTCTTTCTTCCATAGGAATTCTGCCAAAAACTGGGAATCTCCCATCGAGTTGGATGGTAACAGAGGAAGAGATTGAGGTCTATGTGCAGCAGTTCAAGAAATCTGGCTTTAGGTAAAGTATGAATTCAGGTGAAGATGATTTCCTATCATGTGAGGGGTTGGATGGGGAAGAAAGGCTGGCCTTCGCGGAGAGAAAGTGAGTTAAGCCTGTTTGGTCTTGAAGGGCTGTTCTTACTACCAACGCCCAACAGCTCAGTTCCTCCCCTTCTTTTCCCTTCCTGAGGGGCACCCCTTAAAAATGAATATTTCCAGCAGCATATGAATGCCTCTATATCAGAATGGTGTAGCCCTACCTTCTAGCCCTACCACTGAGAAACATTTTTTGAGGGGAGTGGGGTGTGAAGGAGATCAAATTATTACTCTTTACAAATAAGGGGACTAGTGCCCAGAGGAGTTGTGACTTACCCAAATTCACATTGCTAGTAAGTGTCTGAAGTGGGATTTGAACTAGGTCTAACTCTATCCCAGGGGTGGAGAACCTGTGACCTTGAGGCCACATGTGGCCTTGTAGATCCTTAAGTGTGACCTTTTGACTGAATCCAAATTTTACAGAACAAATCCTGATTTGTTCCCCACCCCCTCCATCCATTGCATCATACTGTCTCTCCCTGGTGACCGTATGCTTTTTTCACGTTATGGGACTGAATATCCTCATGGTATCTGGACACTCCTCAAACACAGCACCACCCCCTCCCCCATTTCCTGCCCCACCCCCACCCAGACAAAGGAATCCTTAGGATTCATAAAGAGAAAGGTTTTCTGGGAGAATCTGAGTCCAAAAGATACTTTTTTCAGGTATCTATTACCCATTTTTTATTGGGTAATTCCTCTTATAATTCTTCTCCCCCACCCCTCCCACAAGAGGCAGTGTGCTTTAATGAGTAGAGAGTAAGCTTGAAGGTCAGGAAGACCTGGGTTTGAGTCCCTCCTCTGCCATGCTCTGGCTGTGTGACTCTGTAAATGTCTCTTAGCTTCTCAATACCCCCCTGCCAATCCCCTAAATTGAAGAGAAGGTAGGAATGTATTTTCAAAAAGGGAGTTTCCTCACCAATGAAGTCACAAGTCTAGTCCCTACCTCTCCCCACCCTCCAATTTTGACAGCCCCTTCAGAAATGGTGTTCCAGAGCAGAGGTTCCCAAACTTATTTGGCCTACCACCCTCGTTTTTAAAAAATTACTCAGTGCTCCCCTGGAAATCTACTTCTTTAACCCTTTAGCTTTTTTTTTTTATTTGCATCATTTAAAAAAAATAATATAAATTTTTTTGAAATAACACATCTTAAATTTAATAATTTATTGTAAATTTGTGGGTTTTTTCTGTATTAAAATTTTGATGATGCAATATTGCATCATATAACTGTGTAGTATCATGTTGTAAACAAGTTATTACATGCACATATTCCTGCCCATGCCTGCTGGACTTCTCGACAATGCCAAACACACTTGCCTGCCAATACTTGCTTGTTAAGAACTGTTGTCAAACTTGACCACTGATCAGTTATAACTTGCATTTTGTGTGTTTATTTGGAAAATAATGTAATCACTACAACTTTAACTGTTACACAACAAATGAAACATTTATGAATGTTTTTTTCAAAATTTTCTTTTCTCTTTTTTCTTTATGCATCTACCACCCTCTTATTTTTGTTCAATGCCCCCTCCATTGCACCAGAGGCTACTACCGCCCCCCTGGATCATTTTAGTCACCCCCAGGTGATGGTATTGTCCACTTTGGGAACTTATGAGTAAAAGGAGGATGCTAATGGGGGAACGGTCTTCGGAGTAATTTCACTGACCCTGAAGTACCCAGCACCCAGAGTAATGAGCAGCAGTTAGCCCAGCTCAAGTTCTTCTAGACTAAATGCAGGTGCTCATGTGTTTGGGTTGTGTGGCAAATCAGAGGATACAGAGCATACTAGCACCTTCTGGTATGTAGAATCTGAAATCAGTGACATCAGTAGCTTTTCCCTTCATCCTTAAGGGCAGGCCCAGTTTTAGTTTGGACTTTTTATCTTTAGCACCCACCACAGTGCCCAGAACGTAATAGTCACTTTATAAATGCTTGTTGATCATTGATTGATTGATCAGGAGGAAACAACATATGCTCTGAGAAAGGGGACCACCTCTCATTTCAAACCTTCTTTCTTTCAGGTTCAGGGTTCAGTAGGAATCATTCATTGAAAGAGCTTGCCAATTTTCCTTCTTCTGCTTCCCTAGGGGTCCCTTAAACTGGTATCGGAACATGGATGCAAATTGGAAGTGGGGCTGTACTGCTGCCGGAAGGAAGGTGAGTGCCGTCTTTAGGAAATGAGGCAATGTGGTACACAGGAAAGAATATGGCACTTGAAGTCAGAAGGGGCCTGACTTCAAATCCCATCTCTGATACTTTACTAGCCATGTGACTGGGGCAAGTCAGTTCCTGTTTCTGAGCCTCAGTTTTCCTCATCTGTAAAGTGGAAATGACAATATCTGTAGTACCTGCTTCACGAGGTTTTGCAGGGCTCAAATGAGATAATGTATGGAAAGTAATTTGCCAACTTTGAAGCTCCATAGAAATGTCATTTATGCTCCTGTCCCCCATTGTGGCATGGGGGCAACTCTGGGTCCTTGAAGGCTCTGCCAGTGGATCATAAACTTTGGCAGGTCCTCTCATGATGGAAAAACTTTGCATATGGTCCCAGCAGCAGACTGCTTTCTATGGTCCAGCCTAATTAAGTTTAGAGAGACTGAAGACCCTGGGCTGGCCACTCAGTGATAAGCTTTTGGGGTATAACAACCCATGAAACACCATTACCATATCATCATCATCATCATCATCATCATCATCTGTTATCATCCTTTTAATGTAAATTTTATTGATAACTTTTGTTTTTTACATAGCCTCAATTCCCCTATTATGCATCCCTCCTTCTCTCCAACCCGAGTCATCCCGTATTAGAAAGATTTTTCAAAAGAGAGAGAGAGAAGAAAAATCATAAATACAGCTTTTAAAAATCTGAAAATATATACAATGTTTCATCCCCATGGACTTTCCACCTCTGCCTTGGGCAGAGAGGGGGAAAAGGAGGGGAGATAACAATTCTTCGTAATTATGCAACATTCATGTATTATTGTTTTGTGGTGGTTGTTCTTTCTGTTTACGTTGTTACAGTCATTCCTCATACAGCGTTTCCACAAAGTCTTAGTGCAAAGCTTTAATAATTAAGCTTTTAATCTGTAACAACTCTGAACTGCACTAAGACTTTTGGGACACTCTCCCGAGTCCAAGATCTGTAAGGATGACCCTTCTATGGTATCCAGGGGCAAAGATCTGCTCCCGAATCACCATTACAAAGTCTTCCCTTTCCAGAAATAAATCTTTACTGTTCAAGTCATTTTTCTGATGCTTTTTGTTGACATATTATTAGTTGAGTTCATGTGGATATTGCCTATGGAGAGGCCTTTTGATTCCATTTGTGAATCTTAGCTGTTTCATAGACACCATCTGAAGGCAAATCACTTTCAGTTACATTTGGATAAGTCCAATGACCTATACCTGTTATTAGCCTTGAATACTGCTTGATGTAGTGATATCTGCTTGTTACAAAAATATTTCTATAGATTTTTGCCCTGCTTATCCTGTGTCCTAAGAATGCCTATCAGTCTTCTTCCTACTTCTTGGCAGGGAAATGTTCATCTTCCTATAGCTGCCTGAAGGTGGCCAGCCCTGAGTTTCATTAATATTGGATAGGTTTTTGTTTTCAAAATTGTAGTAGTCCATTTCACAATTCCAAAAATGTACATTTAGAATGGCATTATATGGATCTTAATTGCTTCTGATTCAGCTTTAATTTCAGGATGCCAGCAAGTCTTTTGACATATTCAGCCACAAAATATCAAGGAGCCGCATCTCCTTGATATTGTTACACTCGGTATGTCTTGCCTGGGAGAGAACAAGATAGTTGGAGATAGCCCTTTCTTTCATCTATTGGTTCATTGTGACCTCTAGATTCCCGCTTGAAGCCTTCAGTCTCTGTCTCTCCTTGACACACATTAAAACTTTTACAATTCTGGAATCTGAAAGACATTTTTTATCTTATTTGGGAAAAATTCCACAAGACAAAGGAGTGTAGTCATTATCCTTATTTCTGCAGGACATCAAAATACACATCCAAGAATGAATAATCAGAGTAAGTGATGGTACAAAATAGCAAAAGGAAATTCCCTTGTATTTTGTGTATCATGGCCAGGCTCTTCCAGGGTTCTTGCTTCCTAGGGTATTCAAGCTAGAAAGGGCCCCAGAGGTCATCTAGGCTAACCCCCTCATTTTGCAGATAAGAAAACTGAGACCCGGAGAGGTGAAGGTCATGTAGGTAGTGAGCATCAGAGGAAGTGTTTGAATCCAGCTTCTCTGACTTTAGAACCATTCCCCCTGTACCACGAGGTCTCCCTCCAAATCCTCATCCCTTGAAGGTTACACCTGATAATCTTCCTAACAGGTGGTCATATCTATGATCTGGGAATGGGATTGGGCTGGGAGAGTACTTAGTCTCTTGTAAAACCAAAATTGGTCCCTGGCTGTGTTGGTCATGTCATGAGGGATGCAGGAAAGTGGAGGTAGAGTCAAGTTGGTGTGTGGTATTGTCAGGGCTTAAGCAATGGTGGACCAGGTGGTAGAACAGGCAGATTGGTGGCGAGGCTTCATGCATGGGGCATGGTCATACCCCATGAGGGGTTTATTGAAACAAATCATTGCTAAAGTCAAGGGATTAGTCACAGGAAAAGACATGGAGCACACAGATTAGTTACAGGAGCATGGCAGGAGTATGATCACAAAAATGTATGGAAAGCAGTTAATTCAAAACCAAGTTTAATTATCTTTTCTATGCAGATGAATCTCGGATCTATGTACCCAGCTCTAGTTTCTCTCCTGAGCTCTAGTAATGTATCATCAACTGTCTATTGAACATTTTGATTTAGATGTCTCATAATCATCTTAAACTTGTCATGTCCAAAACAGAACACGTTCACTTTCCCTCCCCCCAAAAATCTCCTTTCTAAGAGTCCCTATTTTCAATGAGGACACCACCACTATCTTTCTAGTGACCCAAGTTAGTAATCTTGAAATCCTCACTTTCCACTTACTTTCCAATCCTTACTTTCTTACACTCTGAATTTCCAGTCAGTTGCCAAATCTTGTTGTTTCTCCTTCTACATCTCTTAAATTGATCTCCTCCCCAATCCTTCTCACCTCTTGAATGACCTATTGCAATAGCCTTCTAATTGGTCTCCTTAACTCTAGTCCCTCACCGCTCCAATTCATCTTTTACACAGCCAGCAACATTATTTTCCTAAAGTCCAAGGGTGATTATGTTATTCCTGTCTTCAGTAAATTCTGGTGTTTTCCTATTATCTTGAGGATAAAATATAAAGTCCTTTGTCATGTAAAGACCTTCACAACCTGGTCCCAACCTACCCTTCCAGCTTAATTACATGTTACTCCCTTAAATTAGCCTTCTTTATATATGGCATTCCCATCTCCCATATGTGACACTCTGTTTCCCATCTCTGTACCTTTGCTCAGGCTAACCCCCTATTTAGAATGCTCTGACGTCCTGTCACTCCCAACCACAAAGCTGGGTTTGGGGACACCAACCATAACTCTGTACCTGCTGGGCCCATCATGCTGCCCTGATGTAACCCTTGAGGCCTATCTCTTTATATCCTTTCCAACTGGGACTGAGGGAGATTTTAAACTATGAAAATGTGGAAAGAAAAGTGTCTATTCTCAAGGTCTCTCTCCTTCTCCAACTGCTTTTTTTTTCTTTTTTGCTATATACTCTGTCCCTAGATCTTGATTCCAGCCCTGATGGTCACAGCTGAGAATGACACGATTCTCCTTCCAAAGTTTTCTAAGCACATGGAAATGTGGGTAAGTGTCCTGGGGCCCAAAATCAAGGCGGGATGGGACGGGAAGTGCTTTGTGACAGAAAAAGAGCTATTGAAGAGAAAAAAATGCCCCCAAATGGGGTGACAGAAGCTAAGGGAGAAAGTTGGCCAGTTATCACAGAGCAACAGTAACATGGTGTCTGCCTTGACAAAGCAAAGCAGAGGGTGAAGTGATTTTGAAGTCCATTTGAATCATCTACCAAGATAGGCATCTTGAGGGCATGTTTCCTCCACAAAAGTCCCCTTCAAGTGCTTTATGGCAGACTGGAGATGTTGATGGTTAGGCCTACTTGGTTCAGATTGGAATGAAAAGAAACACCCATAGACTATATAACAGTTGATAAGAGGAGTTTTATGTAATTATATTAGGGGAAGGATATTCAGCAGGGATACAGTATTGATACAGTTGACCACAGCTTCCTTCCCTCTGTGTTGGCCATGCTGGTTTACTGGTCATAGACCTGAGGAAGCAGAGAAGCTCCCGCTTCCTTGTGTGCTGGTTTTCATTTAAACCACCAGGAAGCTATTATCAGTTGTCCCAGTTTAATGTCCATGAGCCAACTAAGTATGGAATATATTTTCAATACCTTTTTAAAGAAAAACTTACCTAGCATATGTAGAAGATATTGTTTCTACAAGAGGAGGTGATCCTTCTTGGGGACTTGAAGGTTATACCAGTGGGTCACAAGCTCTGATGGGTCCTATCAAACTGGAAAGGCTTGGAGAATAAACTGGGTATCTGTCTATAGATCATGTATCTGTCATCCAAGAACAGCTCAGCCAGGTTCAAAGAGGCTCATGGCCAAGTTGGCTGCAGGGTGCTCAGGAAATTTTCTACCCCAGCAATTCACAAAGTCCCAAAAGCTTGTCTACTAGGAGGTAGAAGGGTAGTCCCCAAAGAAGTATTGAAGGGCATAGTCATACCATGTTTTCTTTCTATCTCCCCAGAGCACCTCATAGTGTGAGTGCTCAGGAGTTTCTGTTGACTAATCTAAACAAAAATAAGGCATTATGGCATAACAAGTAGAAGGCCAACCTTAGAATCAGGAAGGAAGGAAGAGAGAGAGAGAGAGGGAGGGAGGGAAGGAAGGAGGGAAGAAGGGAGAAAGGAGAAGGGAGGGAGGAAGGAAGGAAGAAAGGAAGGGAGGGAGGGGAGGAGGGAGGAAAAGAGAAAGGAAGAAGGGAGAGAGGAAGGAAAGAAAAAAGAAGGGAGGGAAGGAGGGAAAAAGAAAGAAGGAAAGGTGGAAAGGAGGGAGGGTGGAAGGAGGGAGGGAAAGAAAAAAGGGAAGGAAGAAGGGATGGAGGAAGGAAGGAGGAAGAAGGAGGGAAGAAAAAAGGGAGGGAAGCAAGGAGGGAGAAGGAGAAAGGGAGAGAGAAAGGAAGAAAGGGGAAGGGAAGGAGAAAGGAAAGAGGGAAAGAAAAAAGGATGGAGGGAAGGGGGGAGGGAGGAAGGAAGGAAAGAAGGAGAGAGGGAGGGAGGGAAGCATGGAGGGAGGAACGGAAGGAAGGTTGGAAGGAAGGAATGTTGTGATCCTCATAACCCTCGAAGTAGATGCTATTACAATTCCCACTTTATATGTGAGGTAACTGAGACAGCGGTTAAGTGACTTGCTCAGGGTCACATAGCTAATAAATGTCTGAGGTCAAATTTGATTTCGGGTCTTCTGAGTCCAGCTCAGCACTCTATTCTTGCTTCACCTAGCTGTCTCTAGGTGCCCAGGAAGACCTGGGTCCCACATGTGACACAAGTAGGCTCTGTGACCCTGGGCAGGTCACTGACTAAGCTCTTAATGCCCCAGGCAACTCTGTAAGACTAAAAGTTGCAGAAAAACTACCTGTCTTCATTGGTGGAGGGCATTTCCTCACTGGGAGCTCTCAAATCTATTGGGAAATAATCTTTTGCAAAACAGTTTGGTTCGTCCTCTTAATCTGCCTGCACTGTAGCTATAACCTACCCAGAAACTTCAGGGAATGGAGAACAGTCACATGAGTGGTCTGTGATGCACCTTCTAGTCCTCTGACTTAGTCGATAGAGGACTTACCTTGAAGGTAGGAAGACCTGGGTTCAAATGCTGTCTCATTCACTGGCTGTGTAACCCTGGATAAATCATTTAACCTCTCTGAGACTATTTGACTATCTGTAAAAGTAAAGATAATAACATCACCTACCTCATGGGATTGTTGTGAAGATCAGATGAGACAATGTACTTTGCAGATCTTAAAGTGCTTTAATGCATGCTAATTAAGGACATTATTATGATGAGTTAGGGCCAAAACCCACTCCAAACTTACTCCACTGAAATTGTAACCACAAAGTGTAACAGTAGTTGATTGGCCAACCTGATCCTATGCTGGTTAAAGATAAAGCCCCACACATTCTCCCCTCGGTGACCACCCCGAGCTCTGAGGGACAGAATTTTATGTTTTATGTTGTTTCTTGTGGGTTAGTTGTTTATCAGTTGTGTCCAACTCTTTGTGATCCCATTTGGGGTTTTCTTGGCAAAGATACTGGGGTGGTTTGCCATTTTTCCTTCTCTAGCTCATTTTACAGATGAGGAAACTGAGACAAACAGGGTTAAGTGACTTGCCCAGGTCAGGTAGCTAGTAAGTATCTGAGGCTAGATTTGAACTCGGGTCTTTTTTGACTCCAGGGCCAATGCTCTATCCACTGTACCACCTAGCATGACTTTTATACTTTAAGTTGTAAAGGACAATCAATGCCTGATGTTAAGAAATCCTTACTTTCTTTGGTATTTTCTTTCTTTCTTTTCCCAGAAGATGTTTTACACTGTGCTAGGACTTTACCAAGAAGGAGCTTATGGGGGTGATTAGCTGGGTTCCTCCTCAGATTAGCTTTATGTGGCTCAAAAACGTCCATAGTCATTCATGTCTTTTGTGATCATTGGTCATACTTGCTGCCCCAAGTTCGAGACCAAACTGAACCAAGTCACACATAGAGAGAGGCGCATACAGATTTGTGGAAAGAGATTGTTATTGTTCAGTTGTTTCCGACTCTCCGTGACCCCATTTGGAATTTTCTTGGCAAAGATACTGGGGTGATTTGCCATTTCCTTCTCCAGCTCATTTTTACAGATGAGGACACTGAGGCAAATAAGGTTAAATGACTTACCCAGGGCCATATAGCTAATAAGCATCTGAGGCCAGATTTGAACTCAAGTCTTCCTGTCTCCAGAGTCGACCCTCTATTCACTGGGCCATCTAGCTGCCTCCCATAGAAAGAGATGCATCCTTCCTAAAGGCAAGGTGGGGGGATGCTATGGAGGAGGTGACGTGTAGGAAGAAGACCTGCCTGGACCTGAGTGCCTGGAATAAGAGTTAGGGCCTGTTATGTTAGATACACAGTCTATTTAATGGCAACTGATGCTTATTTGGACCTAATAAAGAAAGATATGCTTTGTAAGCAGAAATGAAAAACACTCATCTTGCAGTGTAGACTAAACCAAATTAAAATGTAATTGGGTAATGTTTAGCAAAGTAAATAAAAATATAATACAATATAGATAATGTTTATTTCTGACTTTCTAAGTGAATATACCACCCTAGGATCTGTTTCTATTTGAGTTTGACACCTCCAGGCTACAGGGACTAGAAGGGAATGTGTCTTCTGCCATACTAACCTGCCCCTGCCTCCATTGCCTGTCCCATAGTCGGGAATGCAGATTTATGCCCAGGTTCTGCATTAAAAGATAAAATGGCTTCCTCTCACCTTGGTGGTTCTTTGTTTCAGATCCCCAATCTGACACGGAGAAATATTGAGGAATGTGGACACTGGACTCAAATGGAAAAGTAAGGAGATACTGGACAGCCCCTTAGGTGGGATTCCTTGGGAGGCATCTCTGGCATAAAGTGGAAAGAATGCTGGATTTGGGGTTAATCCGTACCATTCCCCCGCCCCAGGTTCAGACCCTAGGTCTGGCACTGACTAACTGTGTGCCCCTGGACAAGTCACTTTGACCTCTCAAAGCTTCAGCTTCTCCCACTGTGAAGGAAGTGTTTAGACTAAGTAATATCCCTTCCAATTCTAATAATCTATGAAAATTGGGATAATATTATTTACATCATTTGGTTGTTGAAAGGATCAAGTTAAATAATGTATATCACGTACATAGTGTATGATATAGGATGTCCCAAAAGCCATGAGGATGGGGGGGGAGTGGAAGAACTGCACTAAGACTTTTGGGACATCCTGTATAAGGGGCAGCTTGATCATTCAGATGAGGGTAGAGTGTGTAGAATTCTAAGTTCCCAATTCTTCACTCAGTTTCATTCAGGTATGAATTATCTTGACTTTGGTCTTTGCTATGCCAAGTTCTGGCTTTACCATTTACAGCAGATCCAAACTAGTGTAAATGGCACCAGCAGAATTCTTTACAGCTTTTGTTTCCATTGCAGGCCAAGAGAGGTGAATCAGATCCTCATTGAATGGCTGCAAGATGTGACCAAGAATCCACCATTGCTCTCTATGCTCTAATGTGGGGCATATATGTATGTGCGTGTGTGTGTGTATGAGATCCTGCAAACACCTCTATCATTTCACATGGGGAGATTACTCCTGTCAAATGATGGCTTTCTTTTCCATCCACCTCCTTTAACGAACAGCATTATGAGAGCCTGGTGGGATGCACCAGAAAGGCAATGATGCTTCCTTCTCCTCTTGCTACAGCACACACCACAAATAAGGGCTTCAGTTCTGGGGGGAGGGAGGGAAAGGAGATGAGTCTGTTTAATGAGCATAGATGGGAAGCTATTTGAATTACTCCCATTAACACTTTTTTCCTTATGATAGTAATTAAAATAGGTGATAGTTATTAAATAATAGTGATTTAATTTAAAAAGTCAGATTGGGAAAGGGTAATCATTATCAACTGGCCCACAAGTCAGATGCTCCTGGGTTCCAGCTCAGCTGCTTATTAGCTGAATGACCTTGGGCAAGTCATTCAACCTTTCTGAACCTTATCCATCCAGTGAGAGTTGGACTAGCATGAGATAAACTCTCTGGCCTCTTCCATCTCTAGCATAAAAGAGTCAATCAGGAAATTTAAAATGGGGCAAATTTTGCAGGATAAAGAAACCACTAAATGAGGAAGGTCTTCAGATTAGTCTTCAGGTGTGAGATGGGAGAGGGAAAACTGGGGTTTCTAATTTGATTGAATGTTTGATAGTGTTGCAAATTGATTTGTTAGTCGTGGTTATGACTACAATAAAAAAAAAATTTTGTGAAATACAGAGTGGCGTTGAGTTTGCTTTGTTCAGGAGGTAGATGCCAGACTCATGCTTGGAATAAAGTCAGTGATGATGAGCACAAGGGAAGGAGGAGATTTCTTCTGTGAATTTGGATTAGTGGAGGGCCCTTGGGAAATTCTGCCTGTGGTTATGGGACACTAGAAAGTAAGTGGAATTCAAAGAAGACTTTGAGACTCCTGGGATTCATGTCACGCAAGAGGAAGCCACCTCAACTCTGACCTGAGTCTGGCTTGGCCTTGCTCAGAAGCCTATTCAGTGGCCATCTCTTCAGGACTTCCTTCCAAGGTATTCAGCTTACTCCAGGCTGTCCTCCAGGTAGGGGCTTGAGGGCCCAAGGAAGATCATGTTGGGCATCTTAATAATGCAGTGACCAGAGCAGGGCAACTCGGTGGCACCAGAGTGCACAGAGCCCCAGGCCAGGCGTCAGGAAGACTCCTCTTCTGAGTTCAAATCTGGCCTCAGACACTTACTAGCTCTGTGGCATTGGGCAAATAACTTCACATTGTTTGCCCCAGTTTCCTCATCTGTAAGGTGAGCTGGAGAAGGGAATGGCAAGCTACTCCAGTGTCTTTGCCAAGAAAACCCCAAATTGGATTGTGGTAAGTTGGATACGACTGGAAACAACTGAATAAATGGCAAAAGCCTTGATTTTAGGGGCCAAAGGACCTGGGCTTGAAACCGAGCTCAGCTGCTTGCAGTATGTAACAGTAGACGCATTGCTTCAACCTCTTTGCTTTCTTACTTGTAAAAAGAGAAGGATTAGGCTAGATTATAGGGTAATAGCTTATGAGCTAAAAGGGTTCTCACAGACCATCTAGTCCAGCTCTGCCATTTTATAGATGTGGAGTCTAAAGGTGCAAGAGGTCAAGTGAGTTGCCCAGGTCACACAAGCAGAGCCAGGATCCGAATCCAAGGCCTCCAGCTCCAAATCCAGTGTTCTTTCCACTATATTGTGCATCTTCCCTGTTTCCTCCTTAGATGATCTCTAAGGTCCTCAGAAGCAACCAGGAAGCAAAGTGGGGAGAGCTCAACGCCTGGAATAAGGAAGAGATGAGTTCAGATTTGACTTCAGATACTTTGAGCTTTGTGACCCGGGAGCAAATCACTTAATCTCTGTCTGCCTCAGTTTCCTTAACTGTCAAATGAGGATGATAATAAAAATAAAAATATTAATATAAAAATATTAAAAATAAGATATTTTAAAAGTGCTTAGCACAGTTCCTGGCACATAGTAGGTACTTAATAAATGCATGTTTTCATCTTCCTTTCCAATACTAGATCATATGAATTTGTTAGCCTTCCCACACCCCTCTCATTTTTATGAGTATCCAAGGTATGACCCTGAAAGGGAAAAGAGGAGGCGACAACACAAAAAGGCAATGTGCATCTGGTTGGTTGTGTGAAAGGGGGGAGGGAGGTCAAACATCTGGCCTCATCATGCTGATGATGACTTTTCAATACTTTAAAATAGCTGTGGTTTCTTTGGAGGGAGATGCAGATCATAACCCCCTCCCTTCCCATGCCTTAGTGGGAGGCTTAAGGAGTTAAGGAGAGCATCACCTGGTGGCCAGCTGATGAGCTTCTCTGAGTTTAACTGGGCTGGTCCTCAGAGGACGTACCCAGTCTTTGTACCACGGGTTCTTTACTTCTATGGCTCTTTAGCCATTGCCTTACAGGTTCCCTAGGTTCCCACCAACCTTATGCCGTTCCCAACCTATGGATCCTCATCCTCCACCGTCTGATTTCTTCACTCTTGGTTCTGAACTGCTGAGCACCATGAAATAGCATCACAAAATTGAGCTGATTTCATTTGGTGCAAGTTTATGGCGCATCACATCAACAGGGTCGTCAGTGCTGACCATCGATCTTTCTTTTATGCTCCTGGTGACTCCCCATTTGTTGCCCCTTAATGACTATTCCAAAACCTCTTTCTCAGAAACAGATTGTGGAATTAACAAGTGCCCCAGAGGCCATCTATTCAACTCATACATGCAAAGGAATTCCTACTATACCCCATCAAAGGAGCCCCCGCTAACTCCCCTACAACGAGGGGTCGTTCAGCTTCTGCTTGAAGGCCGTTGATGAGGCAGAACTCGCCTCCCCTCTGGACAGCCCAGTCTACTTTGAGGCAGCTCCAATTGCTGGGAAGGTTTTCCTGATATCCTGTCAAAATTTATTCCCTTTGCAACTTTTACCTATGACTGCTAATTGGAACTAAAGGAAACAAGTCTGATCCTTCTTCCATGATAGCCTTTCTAATACTTGAACACAGTTAATACATCCCTCCTCAGTCTTCTGCAGGCTAAATATTCCCCGTTCCTTCAAGTGACCTTTAGATGACACGTTTCCAAGGCCCTTCACCTTCCTGGTTTTTGTTCTCCAGCTTATCGATGTCTTCCTTAAACTGTGAGGCCACCAACTGAACACAATACTCCAAGTAAGGCAGAATCACCTCCCTGTTTCTGGAAGCCATACTTCTGCTAGCACTGCCCAACATTGTATTAGCATTTATGGTTACCACATCACACTGATGACTCATGGGAATGTAGCCTGCAGATCCTTTTCAAACAAACAGTCTAACAACGCCTCCCATCCTATCCTTGAGAAGCTGATTTTTGAACCCAAGTGCAGGACTTGTTACATAGATGCCTATTGAATTACATCTTATGAAATTCAGGTCCAAATTCTAGGCCCTCCCAAGATCTTATTAGCTCTCACTCCAACCCTCATGATGTTGTGGGTCCTCTTCCAGAATGAAGGACAAACGACATCTGCAGATTTGATCATTGCGACATCTCTCTCCTCCTGCTCCCAACCTCACACTTGCCCCCCAACACTTTCAGCAAATGATGACCTTTTCCACTGAGGCGACTGAGGCCATCTAATGTGAGTTATCTTCAACTATTCCTCAGAACCCCTCGGTATCACCCCTTGCTCTCTCCTTTTTCATAGTAATTAACAATAATATTAATAATGATGATGATGGCTAGCTAACATCATATAGTTCTACTGTATGCCAGGCACTGTGCTAAGCACTTTACAAACATTATCTCACTGAAACCTCACAACAATCCTGGGAGGTAGGTGCTGTTATTATCCCCATTCGAGAGTTGAGGAAACTGAGGCAGATAGAGGTTAAGTGACCTGCTTAGGGTCACACAGCTAGTAAATGTCTGAGGCTGAATTTGAACTCAGCTCTTCCAGACTCCAGGCCCAGCACCTCGTCCGCTGTTCTACCTAGCTGCCTACTTACAGGAGAAGTCGCTCTACTTCTCACTAAGGCTAATATCTCTACCTGAACCCATGATCCCACCAAACCTTTCCCTCCGCCAGGGGCACATCTCCCGTCGTCCTGATCTATATCTGGCCACTGGATCCAGATGGCTCCAGAGGAGAAAGTGAGGCTGATGACTTTGCACAGCCCTGCCTCGCTTAAATCCAATTCACTTGCATGTCATGGCATCACCTTCCTGATGTCATGGTCCTCTTTGAGAAGGAAAGACAAAACAACAACAACCTCCTCCAGGACCTTTCTCCAGCAACTTTTCTTAAGCATCATCCATCCCCCGATCTATCAGCTCCTTCCCCAACATGCTCAAGTCTGCCCAATCCTAAAACTGCTTCCCTTTGACCCCTTCAGCTCATCCTGCCACCTACTATCCCATGTATCTCCTCTATTTTATTGCTCGATTTTTTGCAAAAGCCATCTGTATCCACTGACTCTATGTCATTGAGGCCCAGGAAGAACATGACACTTGGGCAGTTATGTCAGTCCTCTGCTTCACTTTCCTCACCTGCAAAGTGATAGTGTTGAACTAGACAATTTCTGAGGTCCTATTCTGGGATTTTATAAGCCTATTAACAAATTTGTCTAATTGCCAATGCCCAAATTAGTTTTGATGGACTAGATATCAATCAATGTAATGGTTTCTGTTTTTCTTGCTTTTTCAACGGGACGTGGAGGTGGAAGGAAGAGAATTTGGATCTGAAAAGAAAATTGAATTTATAGAAATTGTCTATAGGATAATCCCTAGGGAGGACAGGGTCCTAGAGGAGCCATCACGGAGGCAGCCTGAGAGTACAGAAGAACTGAAGGAATTTTAGAAGCATAGAATCTCAGAGCTGGAAATGACCTTACTTAGGTCCCCTAATCCATTCCCAATCTGAAGCACAAGAGTCCCCAGTGATAACATGCAATTCAGTGGCTGAAAAGGTTATGGGATGTAAATGTAATATAATTTTATCATCCCACAAGAAATGAGGAATATGATGGTTTTGGAGAAATATGAACAGATTGGTAGGAGCTGGTTCATTCAGCAAAACCAGGAGAATAATTTACCTAATGACCTCAATAATAAAATGAAAGGAAAAAGCTTTGAAAGACCTAAGGACTCTGACCACATCAGTGACCAATCATGACTTCACGGGACTGATGACGAAACACACTGCCAATGGTGGGGAGGGGGCGTGGACTGGAGGTACAGAATGAGATGTGCATCGTTAGGCTCCGTCCTTGTGTGGATTGGTGTGGCTCCACCATCCTTATTTGTTACAAAGGAGGGCTTCTATTGGTCCAAGAGAAAGTAGGTTAGTAGGTGGTGATAGACATAAAAAATAAACATCAATAAAATATCTTTTTAATACACAGAAAAAAAGCACAGAAAGGGCCACAAATAGAGCAATATTATTGCTACCTTGCTTGTATGCCCATATATGCATCTATATATATAACATATTTGTATACAATTCTTGGCACATGGTGCTTAGTAATTTTTTCTTTGATTCATATACATATATATGTCTTCAGAAAACTTTTATAGAAGTTTATAGTTTCTCATACGATTCTCTTCCCTGTTTTTCAATGATTGAAATGTTTGTGTTTGGCGGTGATGATGAAGTTCACAATAAGAATGGCTCTCTTTTCCCAGGGCAGCCACAGGTGGTGTATGTCAGAAGAGCGACTGAGAGTGGGGACATCCA